TACTACAGAATTTGAATAATCAAATCTAAAAATAAAGCACTGCCCAGTCTTCACTATATGAACTAAATCTACATTGCATCTTATTAAAGCTAAAAAAGTTATTCAGACAAGAGCAGACTGCAGAAAGTATATTAGGCTTAATAACTTTTTAACATCAAGCACATCCCATGCTTTATTTTCTCATTCATGTTTCTTTCTCACTTTAACATGTCAATAACTTGTGGAAATGTGTGAATATATTTACATACCTCAAATATATTTACATAAAGCTGTATAAACAATATAGCAAAATCTCTATATCATCTTTATATCATCACCATGATACAGGTGCATCTCAATAAATTAGAATGACGTGGAAAAGTACATTTATTTCAGTAATTCAACTCAAATTGTGAAACATAAATATATGACGATATATATCACAAAAATAGGACAATTAAATTACTGTAGAAATAAATAAAAGAATAATGCTTACTTGAATAAGATATGAAAATATAAAATAAATACCCTAATATAATCGTTTTTCTTTTTTGCAACCTATAATCAGTAATCTGCCAATTATTTTCTGTCAGAAAGTTCTGAATGCACATGTATTGTATTTACATACAATTTTGTTAGTCTTTACAAAATGGGACTGAACAAGTGGATCCTCCTTTTCACATGACAATGAAGTTACAAAATCTTTTTAATTTACAGTTGTTCATACACTGGAGTTACTATTTTTATCTGTGTTCACCTTTGTACTGAACAGTCATAGCATAATAGCAGATATTTATGTATGTAATGTTTAATAAATGCGCATTTAAATCAACCTTTCCAAAAAATTATGGTATGGTGGGACCCTCAAGTGCTCTGACAAATTTGAAACAGTATATTAATTTGTCTTTCTCACACCTTTCATTGTCAAAGACAGGAAATCATTGATCATGTTTACATGCATGTTCTTAATAAGCTGGTCCCAAGTGTTGTCATATAAACACATTAAACTGTTTTCTTTTAAGCATAAACTGATCAACAGCCATATTTTTGTCCATTACTCCGATTACCCTGAAATTGTCCTTTACTGTGGATTTAAGTGTATCAGCCATAGTACGCGTTGTACGGTAGAAGAGGAGGAAATATAATGTACAATCTCACTCTTTATTGACCCAGAAAAATATAAAAATGTGTTCTCGTCTCATACAAATGAAGGAGAAGTCATAGAGTCATAGAAACTGCAAACATCAGAGGAGAATATAAGTTCTAAACACATTTCCTGCTGATATTTTGGAACACTCTGGTGGTTTTAATGCTTTTTTGAACATTGCAGTGTAGGGCTGCACGATAAATCGAAATGGAATCGAGATCGCGATTCGACAGTGCAGTGATCATGTTGTGACGTCACTTACAAAATCTTGAAAAGGTAATATTCTGGCATTGCCGGGTTATTGATTTGATGTCACTGGTAAGAAACCGGAAAAGGGGATCAGGACACAATGCCAGTTGAATTCGAACCTGCATTTCCCACATGAGCACCAAAGCATGACATGTCTGTAGCTTCGGTGTGCCTGTGTTTTCTATTTGATTTCCATAAATCTGCACAAGTTTATCACTCTCAGCGCTCATGAGAGGTTTAACAGGCATGAATCTTTGATAGACCAGATGGCTAAAGAGACTATCTGCCACTGGTCAGCCTCCGTTTAACCTCCCTGCGCTTTCAGTGTGTGTGTGTGTGTGTGTGTGTTTGTTTGTATTTTCCTTTCTGTATTTGCACATTTATTTACTCATGGTAATTTGCATATCTAACACACTGGCTATTTTAGATGCTTTCAAAACATTGCTGGTTGCGCTCTCTTCCTCATAGTGACCCGCTCTCTACATTACTAATTTTTTACATACATGTGTACAAATGCATTTGAAAGCATTTACTGACGTCACTCAACCCAAGGCGAGAGTGCATTGCTCTGTGTGTGTTGTGAGACTGTGTGTCCCCTAAATGACCCCGGCCCTCAATCTGGCTCCAGGCACTTTATTAAGGGATTAATGGGCTAGTGGTTGTCAGTGTCCCCGTGTGCCATTGCCTTCTCCAGCTCCTGACACCTGGGCACACTACTGACCCCCCCACACACTTGCACACACTCAGACACTGTAAACATACACTGTACTCATACACAATCTAGGTCAGAGCCAGACAACAACACAGACAGACCCAATAACGCTCACTGTTAACGGGAGGGGTGGAGGTCAGCCGGCCTACCCACAATCTCCTGCTCCCTCGTCTCCAGCCAGACTACATTCATATGATTACGCCCCCTCTGCCTCCCTCCCCAGCTGTCTGATCGAGTGTGGTCACCCTTGAGAAGCATATGCCATCTACCGCTCAGCTGTACATACTGTCAGACGTCTGATCTGATAAGACGAACAGGCTAAACTTTTTTCTACCCTCCTTTTTTGTCCAGTCTAAATGTAGGGAGCAGACCTCTTTGTTTTTCTATATCAGAAAGGCTGAGTGAGTTTACAAGAGCTGGTTTTCATTAAAAGAACTCTGGCGTTCCTATGAGCTCACTGACTGTCTGTCTATTTTGTCTTGTCGTGGCGCTTGCATGTTTTTTAGGCTAACCATAGAAAGTTCTTGAAACCTTTAGAAGTTTGTAAATGTACTGTCAAGTTCAGCCCTCACTGTTGTGTTCTGTTTTATACCACAGCACTTTATGACTGCAAATGTACGAAAACAAAACATAAACTTGCCAGGTATCTGGTTTAATCTGTGCTAAAGTTTAGTATTTGTTCGACTGGCACAAATTAGATCTTCAGGTTAACTTTTTTCAGAGGTGGACTAGGAATTGATTGTATTGGAGAAGGTCTTTTTGACTTTGGCTTAGCCTAGAGTAGTGAGTAAGAAAAAACATTCTGAGTCATTTTGACCAGATTTCAAACCCTTTTTTCTTTTTAAGCCAAATTATAGACATCTGCTTCAGCTTTAACCGCCTTTGGTAACAGCCTTATCTCAATGATGCCCTTGTCTCTGTAGCAGTTTAAAACTCAAATGAGTCACAAAGTGGACAACCAGGCTCAAATTTAAATATGTTGCACATGACAGTGAGTTGACGTCTGTGCTTCCTTTGGCCAGGGGTCTTATGGGTGACAAAATCTTGCTTCTTGGTTTTGCACAATGCAGAAAATGTGGGTGATGTTACCAGGACGTTAGTATGAGATTGCCAGGGTGTTCACTGGCCCAGTTAAAGAGAGCCTCCTCTTTTTGAGATATTCTGGTGCCTAGGTGTGGCTCAGGTCCTTCACTTTTTTATATTAATTTATTTTTATGTTGTGACCAATAACCAATAAATGGCTAATAAAGTGAATTTAAAGGTGACATATCATGAAAATCTGACTTTTCCAGGTTTTAAGTGCTATAATCAGGTCCCCGGTGCATCTACCAACCAAGGAAACGTGAAAAAGATTAACCCAGTAACTTTGTTTTGGTAAGCCTTTTTCTGCAAGCGTCTGAGAAAACGAGCGCGTTTGATTTTGCTCACTTGGTGACGTGGCAAAGGGATCTCATTATAATATTAATCTGTAAGTTTCCACCCACTGCGCCGTCA